CACTCTGTAGCTGTAAAATTATTGCCAAGTAACTTAATTTTAAAATGTTCAAAGAAATGGAAGAGGATATAGGTAGAAGATTGAAGAGGAGTCCTCATTACGAGGGGGCACAAAAGCTTTCTTTTGTTGTTCTAATTTTTTTGAGTCAGTATCTCATTATGTAGCTCAGGCTGGCCTTGAACTTGGAGTGCTTCTGATTCAACCTCCTGGGTGGTAGGTTTACAGATGTGTGCCACCATGCCCTGCTTATACACACTAGACTTTTAAAAGTTTGGCCTGCCTCCGTTGCATACAGAAAGCAGTCTCTAATTATGCCTGAGTATTTACTTATATAAATATTCCTCTGGGTGCTCTGGTAAGTCATATTCTGCAGCACTCTGCGCTCAGCGCTGAAGATCTTGTTTCCATTACTTTAGTTTTTCACTGTGTTACTGTGTATTGTAGCTAATTAAATACTGTGCTTTTTATGGAACAATCCCGCTAACAAAAACAATAGCCCTCATTTGTAGCTAAGTATCTTTTATTAGATGGCATAACTACTCTGCTCTGAGCTATATCCCCAGCCTGACTTACATGTTTGAACTCCACCTCCACACCTCACTACAAGGCAGAAACCGCTATTAGCCTTCTTACAGGTGGGGAGCTCACACACAGCAAGGGTGGGACCTAGCCAAGTGAGAGGCAGAGCTGGGACTGAGCCCTGGCAGTCTGTCTCTAGCGCCCATACTTTTTGATATGTCTTTTTGTATCTAGAGCACATTTTAAAGTTTTTTCATAGCTGGGCATGGTGGCATACACCTTTAATCCCTGCACCCAGGAGGCAAAGGCAAGGGGATCTCTGTGAGTTCAAGGCCAGCCTAATCCACACAGTTAATTCCAGGCCAGCCAGGGCTGTTATAGTGAGATGCTGTCTCAAAAACAAAAAGGTTTCTTCAGCATAGAAACTATGCCTCTCTCTGTGCCCATGTTCTTCTTCAAGCAGATCTAAGATAATGTCCTGTGCCCAGAAGTGACCCTCAGCTGATAAGCTGAGCCTGGCCGGAAGCTCTGTCTGTCTTCTGAAATGTTGTCTATTCCCTAGACATAAGCACTGTCTCTCAAAGTTGTACTGTCTGTCTAAGGGGCAAAATAACAGCGTGGAATAGGAAATGAGAGAAAGAGGCCATACTTCAGTGTAGGACCAAGGTTCCTTCCAAAGAGGCCAGTAGGGACCAGGAAGACCCTCTTCATATTCCTGGAGTTGAACTGAACTCAGAGCAAAGACGAACCTTTCTACCTCCAACATTTTATGACCTAGAGAGAAAGCTCTTGGGCAAAGGGTTGGGGGAGGCTGATGGGAAAAATGGATTCCTAGGCACGGGGTGTGTGTGAGAAGCTTGGGGTGGGATGTGTAGGAAAGTGGCAAATGAGAGGAAACCACCCGGGCTGAAGGCCAGAGACACTGGGGTTCTGGCCACAAAGACAGGTTATCTCTGGACAGAAGAAGGGAAGTCTTTGAAGGGGCAGCACAGCTCTGTCTCTCTCTCTGTCTCTCTGTCTCTGTCTCTGTCTCTGTCTCTCTCTCTTCTCTCTGTCTCTCTCTCTCTCTCTGTCTCTCTCTCTCTCTCTCACACACACACACACACACTAGAGAGAGAGAGAGACAGACAGACAGACAAACAGACCCACTCCCTACCAGCTTGCCAGCTGCCCTCTGGCTTTTGGCTATAGCACCCCTCTCAAGGTGAGGTGTACACACACAAATACTTCAATCCTTGGGACTGACCCCAGATGACCACGTGCCTGTTCTGACCAAGACAGTCCTGCCTTCCTCTCGTTCCAGTCTCCCGGACTAGGAACCTATATTCTTTCTTCATCCTGTTAGAGGTGATAAATCACACAGGCACCTTACTCAAGTCCCACTTTATACAAGCTGCCAGTGGAGGCTGTCGCCAGTGGAGGCTGTCAGCGCTGTTACAATGAACTGTAAATCCCTTTGAAGGAGGAGACGGTGGCGGGGGGGGGGGGGGGGCAGCTGAGTTATACACGCAAACCTAGCTCTCACCCCAACACTGGAAAGATGAGCCGTGTCCAGTCCCTGTCTGATGAAAAGTGCTAGGGACTTCTACACGGAGACCTGGTTAGCTTGTCTTCTTTGCTAGGCATGTGCTTTACTACTGAGCTGGCTTTGTGAGTGGTCTTAATGACCAAATCTGCAGGCTGTGTAAGTGGTTTGACAAAATACATATTCACTCTGCTAAGTGGGGTGTTGCCACTGTCAAAGTCCAAGTCTCAAGATGGCTGTTCTTCACTAGGGACCTACGAAAATGAAAGAAGAGCGTATTGAACAAACACAAAGCCTCCCTTCTTAGGCGCTGACAAGATTATTTGGTGCAGACCACTGCTCCAAATAGTGTATACAAGTGTCTACATAAACACACTTTCTATCACCTTTTCGAGGAAACCCAAATGCTTATTTACATTTCCTTCCAGATATAAAGTGGAACAGATGTCGTGGGGGCCTTCTGAACAATCAAAATGCCTTATATAAATCCTTCGCAGTGAAAGCTTCTGTGCATCACCAGCTTTCTCTGTGATTCTATTGCCAGTTGAAAATATCGATGCGGCTTTGTCTCGGGTTTATGTAAAGCGAAGACCGCGGACCGCTGCTTCCACTTTTAGGTGTTTCAAGTAAGAAGGTTGCTTTTTGTGCCGTTTCCATCTTTGTAAGATCTAGACAAAAGGGTTTTCTGAGGAACTGGGGATTAGTGAATAGGAAGGATTCCTTTAGAGAGCCATTTAGTAGACTTTTGAAAACCCTTTTAGAAAATACCGTGCTCGCTCAAAATCCCTTCATCAAATCCGAACAGTTTCTGAATGGGAGGCTGCCGCTGCAGCCCTGTTTACCTGGGGTTTCTTTTCACTTATTCAAATTCAGCAGGTAGTTTAAATACCAGAATCCAATCGCAACTAACCTATTTGTTGCTAAGACTGTGTGATAGGCTTAGCGAGTACACTTTAGGCCCCTGGCAGGTGTAGGACCCTGGGATGGCTCAGCTAATGAATGGGGTAAAGTGCCATTTCAAAGGGATCCACACGAGTGGCCTTTGAAGCATCTCTTACAAAATCACAGGATTTTAACAGGGGAGAAAAGGAGCAGGCCATGAGAAGAGTGAAAAAGAACTCCAGGCACGAGGACCAGCTGGCATGGAGGCCCAGGAGCTGCTGTAGCAAGTACACCAGGTGCATCTGCTGGGTGAGGAGGGATGAAAGCTACAGGAAGCACCCAAGTGTTTCCATGGGGTTGAACCAGTGCGTGGTGTTGTGACTGAGCCTCAGAGGGTAGATTGGGACTGGGGAAAGTCAGGGGCAGGAACCTTTTAGGGAGGTTTGTTCAAATAAAAACCTAACAATACCAGGGGAGGTGGGAAGTAAGAGGTAAGAAGAGGGAGAGAGGTTTCTGTAGGGCGGAGGTTGGGGATGGAGCCCAGGGCTTGTATATGTCAGTGGTTACAGCTGACTTACATCAGCAGCCCTGGGTTTCTTGGTTGGTTAATTGGTTGGTTGGTTAGTTGGTATTTTTTTGAGATAAGGTCTTGCTGTGTAGCCCAGGCTAGCATGGAGCTTACTATCCTCCTGCTTCAGCCTCCTGAGTACTGAGATTAAAGGTATGAACCACCTGGCCCTGCCTGGAATAAGGTTTTTAAAAAACCCTGATTCCAATCTCTGGAATTTGGAAACGGCTATATGTAAGGAACTATGAGGAGAGGCTATTCCACCAGAGGTCTGGGCCTTAAGCCTGGACAGTGATGGTGAGCGGTAAGCAGAGGCCTCCTGTGTGGCTGGATGGGAGTGGGAATGTGTTTGCTCCTCGCGCCTATCCTGTCCAATAGCAGGGGAACGGCCATGTGGCAAGGTATCAACACATCCCTCCCACCTGCAAATACTCATGATTGTGAGGGATCATTTGTTGAGCGGATGCAGGGAGGAAGGAAGTTTAGAGACTGAATAAATAAAATAAATAAATAAATAAATCAACCTGACACAGGCCAGTGCCTGAGGAGGGTCTTGGTGGAGTCATCACGGCAGGAAGTGACAGGGAAGCCCATAAAGATAGAAGAGAGGGCTGGAGCCAGAGGTCTCGGGCATAAGGGCATTTAGAGAGCAACACGATTGTCAGGAAGGAAACCCTTGGAGGGGCAAAACTGAGAATCGAAAAAGCAGAGGCCCCAGGCAGACCTCAAAATACTAAGGGACAGCCAGGCGGTGGTGGTGCACACCTTTAATCCCAGCGCTTGAGAGGCAGAGCCAGGCAGATCTCTGTGAGTTCGAGACCAGCCTGGTCTACAGAATGAGCTCCGGGACAGGAACCAAAACTACACAGAGAAACCCTCGGAGGGCAGAAAAAGAAGCCAGGAGAGTCAGAGCGTGAGAACCCCTCAGTCAGTGCCAATGCCGCGCTGTGAGGTGCTGATAGCACAGGCCTGCCCACTGCTTGCTTGACAAGCCCCAGCAGGCAGAGTCTGTTGGATGCAACTAACTGGTTTCCCCAAGGCATGCCAAGCAGTGGGCAGGGCCCCTGAACCAGCCCGGTCTCTCCTGAGGGAGCCCCTCACATGCGTGGCCTCCAGCCTCGCTGGGGTGGGGGTTCGGCCACACCTCAGTGTCTGGCTGGCAAGAAGAGGAGACTAGAGACTCACATTTATCCTGTGTTCACAGTGGGCCCAGACCCACGTTCAGTATGTAAATGTTGAGGAAATCATCGTGCAGGTGAAGCCTGAGGCTGGCAGAGCCCGTGGTGAGTCTTTCACTACGGGGTAAGAGGAACATTGATACTCTGGGTTCTTGGCTAGAACAAAAAAATCATTTCGAAAGGCAGAAGTTTTTCGTTAAAAGATCGGCTTTAGACAAGGACTTCAGGACTCTAACACAATGCAGTGAGCTTCTTTATAGATCTGCAAATGCAAATTCCTCTGTTTAACATATGTGTAGAAGTATTTGTGCGTTAGAATTGTACATACTTTTTTACATCCCTTGCCTTTGTCTTTGGAGAATTTGATATTTCCTTTCAAAACGATATTTACCGCTGGATCTGGGGAAACAAAGGAAAATAGGCCATGAGAACCTTCAAGATAGCAGAAGAAATAAACACTAAGTGATTTTTTTTTTTTTATTTTATTTTTCTCAGCTGTGGGGCGCTTTCACGAGGGGGAGAAAATTCACAGTGCCCTTTATTGAGAAAAGAGCCTCCCTTCCAGAGCTGCAGGAGCGGAGTGGGACGAGCCCAGGCCTCCTGGGGACGTGGCTGGCTGTCATGTTGGTGTGCCTCGGAGAGACAGAAGCCAGCAGGCTGCTCTCTGGGCGGCTGTCTTCAGCCCAGCATCGTCCCTGCATACTGTGAGCCCTGTGTGTCCCTGTGTGTCAGGACAGAAAGACTTTCTGCCTCCTCTCTAGAACAGCACCCTGAAGAAGGGGAAGCCAGTGGCTTTCTGATAGAGGGACAGCCAGCAGCAGAAGGCAACCCATAGTGACACTTTGGGATGCAGGGAAGCCGTGTGCTGATGCGCAGTTCAGCCTAGCTATTCACAGAGGCACTTTCTTTTTCTTTGGCTCTTTTGAGGCAAGGTTTCACTACTTATTCCAGGCTCCACCTCGCAGCTGAGGCCCTCCTGTCTCAGCCTCTCCAGTGATGGGATTACAGACGGGCTCCACCACGTCAGGCTAATATGGGCATTTCAAGTGAGATATCTGAGAAGTTTCAAGAAGAGGTTGGTGGCCAGGTGTGTTGTCACACACCTGTGATTCCATCACTAGTTGAGACTGAAGCAGGAGGATCACTGTAAGTCCAAGACCATCCTGGTCTATATGGTGAATTCCAGACCTTGTACTACATAGTGAAAACCTATCTCCCACCCACCCTCTCAAAAAACAAAAGAGGTTGGACAATTAAAACTACATCCACCCATTGCCCAAAACAATGAATGATAAGGAGAAAAATCTAGTCACTGGTTGTTTGTGTGACCTAATGAACTTCCTATCCTTGCTCTCCTCCCCAGTCCCACCCCCAACCCCAGCAGGGGCTTTTGTGACCTTCTGGGTCCAGGCTGAGACAGGATGATCCCGCATAAACTCGGGATCATTCCAATGGCACTAGAAGGCTTCTAGTGACAAACGTGACCTGAAATACCCAATTCAGGCTTCCCATGGAGGACAGTTTTGTGACTGGGGCAAGCACTGGTGGCTGATAACCCAGGACTTCATGACAAGTGGAGTCTCCACCTCTGACCTGGAAGTTGACCCAGCCGAAAATAGTCAAGCTCCCCAATGGAAAGCAATTTTCTTCGGTCCCAGCAGAAACCCGTCTGTGGAGGCTATGTCCTGGGAACTGCAGGGCCAAGGGGTAGGGGACCCTTGGCTCAAAGTAGCTTGAGCTGGCCGCAGATTAGTTCTACAGCTTTGACTTCATGGGCAGCCCTGGACAGTTTCTGTGGAAGGACTAGTTCCCTAAGCTTCTTTGGAGGGCAGGAAACAGAGAAGACCCCCCTGTCTGGGACAGTCACTTGTCCCACAGTTTCTTGTACACTGGTCTACCTACTGGCCTGTGGGGTCTATCCCTAAATCCTGTTGTCCTTTCCAAACGAGCTGGCTGTGCCCATTGGAGAAATCTCTGTGTCCATCCAATATCAAGATTTTTTTTTTCCCAGAAAGCACTTGCACTGTTTAATTGAACTGCTAATAAGTGTGGGAAATTGTCCTTTTGTATTAATCTCACATGCTCCAAAATGCAATATGTCCATCAAGTATAGGCTATGAGGTAGAAAGCACAATTTTAAGAGGCAGTCCTGAGTTCAAGTCTCAGTTCTGTCACTATGTGTGTGTGTGTGTGTGTGTGTGTGTGTGTGTACATGTGCTTGTGAGCCCGGGTGGTCCTCAAGGCCCTGTGCACACTAGGCAAGTGCCCTATATTGAGCTATACCTCCAGCACAGCCTGTTCTGCCTTTTACCCTCAAACATACATTGAATCCCTGCTATGTGAGGCTGGACAGAGAGTGGTAGTGAAGTTAAATGGTCTGACTCTTCACGTCATATCCCAATGTGTGCTCATCTCCTAGGGCCACTTCTTAGTGATAAGATTTGGAGCTAGTCTCTTGTCTTAGTTAGGGTTTCTTTTCTTTTTTCTTTTTCTTTTTCAAGACAGGGTTTCTCTGTGTAACAGTTCTAACTATCCTGGAACTGGCTCTGTAGACCAGGCTGGCCTCAGACTCATAGAGATCTGCCTGCCTCTGCCTCATGAGTGCTGGGATTAAAAGCGAGCATCACCATTGCCTTGGCTTAGTTAACGTTTCTATTGCTATGAAGAGACACCATGACTATGGCAATTCTTATCAAGGAAAACATTTCATTGGGGCTGGGTTACAGTTCAGAGGTTTAGTTCATTATCATCATGGTGGAACATGCTGCCCTGCAGGCAGACACGGTGCTGAAGAAGGAGCTGAGAGTTCTACATCTTGATCCAAAGGCAACAGGAAGTGAACTGTGTCACTGAGTGTAGCTTGAGCATAGAAGACCTCAAAGCCCACTCCCAGTGACACACTTCCTCCAACAAGGCCACACCTTCTAATAGTGCCACTCCCTTTGGGGGCCATTTTCCTTCAAACCACCACATCACTCCAGCTTTCTGACTTCAGCTAAGCACTGTGAGAGTTAAAGGGCTTAATGTACATCCAGTCCAGAAGACGTGGGTGGCCCACACTAGGTGCTGTTTCCTTGGGCTAACGGGGACTCTTAGGAAATATATGTGGGATATACAGTGAGGACCTCCAAGGCCATCCCCTGAGAGCCCTGGGGACAGAAACTGCTGTGGGCATATGATTTATGTTGCTTTACACAGTGTGCCTGCTGGGGCCAAGGCCACCGGAAGCAAAGCCAAGGGATACCAGGGACCACAGCCTCCCACCCACTCACTCATCTCCAAAACTCCTGTCAGCAATTTGTATGTAAGAAGTTCAGAGAAGTGCAAGCTGATTCATCCTTCTTTCTGGGTGTGAAATCACCTAATCCAAAGAAAATCACAGTGAAATGTATCAGTTTAAGACAAAGCAGGTCTTGAGATCTCACAGGAGGCTGGAACCCTGCCTGTAGGAGCTAATTTTAAGGAATGTACACACATAAGCCAATTCTAGTTAGGTAAAGGACGTGCACACTGGCCAGTCCTTCCCCCAACCTCTTATCCAGCCCTGTCTTCTGTGTGAATACAACATTGCTGTTCAGATTCTTCTGCCGCCCAAGGGCTTATTTTGTAGGCTCTGTGCAAGCTCTGTGAGAAAAAAGAGGCCACACGGCTATTTCACAGGTCAGCATGCACATCATCGACAGTGTGTAAGTCATGCTGGACAGGGTATTAATAAATGGGAAGCTGCCATCTGGCAGCACAACAGACATTGGTACCTTCACTGTCATCGCTGTCCTCAAATCCATGCAGCTTTTTGGGTCTCTTCATGACAGGTAGTTCACAGGGAGGCTTTTTGGGTCTCTTCATGACAGGTAGTTCACAGGGAGGCTTTTGGGGTCTCTTCATGACAGGTAATTCACAGGGAGGTGAGACCAACAATTGTACTAACTTTTTTTCATACATTTTTCTGGTGGAAGCTGAGAAACAACAAGGAGAATTAAACCGTTCCGTGTTGTATGCACAGGGTTCAGAAGTTATCTTATAACCCAGACCTTTCTTCTAGGACTGGACATTACTGGCTAATCATGGCTTTTAGCAGTGAAATGAACCCCCACAGCCATTCAGAGTCACTTTTACCATTATACAAACAGGTAATGTCTACAGATTATCAATAACCAGGTACTGGATACATCTGAGGGCAAACAGGAGGGACATGGTTGTCTGTGAGAACAGAGATAATGAAAATACAAGGCACATCTAAAAACCCAAGGCGACTAATTGAATAATTGGATTTCCAGCATTGAAACAAAACAAAATAAAAACAAAACAACAACAACAACAACACAAACAAACAATCTCCCCCCGCCCTGGCCCCTGGCCTTGTATTTCCCAATCTGTAAGGACCTGGGGCTGTCTGTGACATCTTGCTTCCATATGGCTGTTTTCCTTTTTGTATTTTTAGTGAATTTCACTGCATATGTTGCTCCTACTTTTCCTCTTCCGATTTAAACTTTGGAAGTGGTTTGTAAGCCACAAATGAATCCCCCCGATAGGAACTGTAGACATACGTAGTATTGGGCCAGATGAAAATCCAAGCTTCTTCAGTTGCTTATGTAACTCATAGTCACTCAGACACTGCACATCCACCATGGTGACAGAAATGTGGCCTCTGACTCCTTGAAGCAGGAAAATATTAGACTCATTGAGACAATTTCACAAATAAATACTTCAGCACAGGCGCGAACCGCCTTACCCCTTCTGCTCTCCCCCAGAGAGTCCGGCTGGGACTGGCAGTCTTGAGGCAGAGCTTGGGAGGCTTCTTCTACTCTACCCAAGGTTCTTAAGGATCAGTGATTTCTGACTTTACTACTCAACTAATGTAAGAAAATTTACGTGGGTAAAAATGAGCAAAATATTTCCATGATGCTCTGGAATTCTGCTCAGGACTCCAGCGCCCCCCAAGATAAGCCTTTAATTAAATACGAAAGAGGTGAGAGGGATTTGTTTTCAGTGAGCTAGAAAAGTTATTTATCGCTGCCCTTCTTTTCCTGAGACTACCAGGTGCTCAGAGAAGTCCAGGATTGCAAGCTGTGGTGGTTTTCGTGTGTGCTGTTTAACACTGAGCACAACGAGATGCAGTTTTCAAAGGATTAAGATTTTTTACTTACATGTATTTTGTGCACATGCACTTGTGTAGAGGGGTGGGTACCACAGGGCACATATGGAGGTCAGAGGACAACTTGGGGATCACCTCTTTCTCCACCACGTGGATCGACAGGCAAAGACCTAGTGACCTAGTGACCTACGTTGTCAGCCTAATGGTGTTTTCTGTTTTTTGTTTTTAAATTAGCCACTAGAAAACACTGTGGTTGATGGACTGGCATTTGGAAAAAGTCAACGCTTAGTTCTTTGTACAGATTGAGTTATATAAGTTTGTGAAGTCTTGATCTGTCTAAACCTGTACAGCCTCAAGTCAATTAGTTTTATCCCCTTTATCTTTTGATTCCAACCGCCAAACTGACCCCATCACCCACCGAATGAGGTGGAGAAAGGTAGAGTCACTCATCTGTGGAGCCCTCTCAGAGGCTTGCCATGCAGGACTTATTTATTGCACCTCATTTCTAACAGGTCTCAAGGATTTTAATATTGCCGTGATAGCAAGCTTAGCGCTCAGCACGGGAAGATAGAGTCCCATTTTAAGAAATGACTTTGCAGCCGGGCGGTGGTGGCGCACGCCTTTAATCCCAGCACTCGGGAGGCAGAGCCAGGCGGATCTCGGTGAGTTCAAGGCCAGCCTGGACTACCAAGTGAGTTCCAGGAAAGGCGCAAAGCTACACAGAGAAACCCTGTCTCGAAAAACCAAAAAAAAAAAAAAAAAAAAAAAAAAAAAAAAAAAAAAAGAAATGACTTTGCTTTTATTGGTGCTCAGTCAATGTCCAATTAGGAAGCACATCGTAAACAAGCTAGAAAAAGCCGGGGACTTGTGACCTATGACAGAGTGCTCAGGAAGGCTTGCTTGGGTAATTTTGTGCGTCAAACTATGTTTCTTTTTGCAAACACGGTCTTGGTTAACATTAGTTTCTGCCTTCTCCGTGTGTTTGGGAAGCTGGATGAACCTTTCCAGAAATCACTCTAATGTTGGAAAGGAAAAGGGCACTGTGGCTCAGCAGCTCAGATTTTTATTTATTTTTTTATCATTTATTTATTTATTTGGTACTGGAGGCACACTTAGGCAGATCTGGTGACATTTGTTCCAGAAAACAGCTGTCTGCTGTTTCCCTGGCTTCCCAAAAATAACCTTCCAAAGAGCTCTCATCAATTTCAAGTGACATTAGACAATCGCCCAGAGGGAACACACATATGGAAGACAAATATTCAAATGGAATCCAACTGGATGGTTAATCCACTCACCCCTTCACATGGTTGTCTGAAGTCTATGCAGTCAAGCTGGTTTCCTAAGCTGGGTGAGTCTCACCCAGGGGTTGCCATGAACAACTGTTCCTTCTTTGCCTGTTAGAGATGGTGGTAATCACAATGACAGTGTGACATCAGCAGCATACCTCCACCCCCGCAACATTGATGGGGAAATTAGATGACGAACTTAAGCTAAGTTCAAACAGAAGGAGGCACTGGCCAGCTTCAGGGGTGGGGTGCGGCGGCGAAAATTGGAAGAGGCTACAAGTCACCATCGTGCACAGGGCGTAAGGAGCAGCACACGGCTATACGGTGCCAAGAAATGTGGAGGAGAAATGGGAAGTCAAATGAATGCCAGCAGCCAGGCCGCCATCGGCAGACTGGCAGGAAGATAGGAGAGTGGAAGAGACACGGGTCCACGTGAAGGATTTTTCAATTAAGAAACTAAGAGCCAGGTGTGGTGGCGCACGCCTTTAATCCCAGCACCGGGGAGGCAGAGGCAGGTGGATCTCTGTGAGTTTGAGGGTCTACAAAGTGAGTTCCAGGACAGCCAGGCCATGGCTATTACATAGAAAAACTCTGTCTCGAACCCCCACCTCCCCCCCCCCAAAAAAAAATGAAAAAGAAGGAAGAGGAAGAGGAGGAGGGGGCGGGGCTGGAGGGCTGGAGAGATGGCTCAGTGGTTAAGAACAATGACTGCTCTTCCAGAGGTCCTGAGTTCAATTCCCAGCAACCACATGGTGGCTCACAACCATCTGTAATGAGATCTGGTGCCCTCTTCTGGCATGCAGGTGTACATGCAGACAGAGCACTCATACATAAAAAATACATAAATAAAATTTAAAAAAAAAAACAGAAAAAGAAGAGAAGAATCAGGGGCTGGCAAGCTGGCTCACTGGGTAAAGACCCTTGCCACTAGGAATGGCTTGAGTTCCATTCCTAGGACTCACATGGAAAGAACTGATGCCTGAAAGTTGTCTGTCCTCCAACCTATACACACACACACACACACACACACACACACACACACACACACACACACACAGAGTGGCATGCAAGTGTCCAAATGCACAACACATACATATGCAATAGATAAATGTGATATTGTTTGGGTTTTTTGTTGTTTTTGTTTTTGTAGACCAGGCTGGCCTCAAATTTGTCTTTTTAATTAAAAGAAAGAAAAGAATTGAGATGGAGGGCATGTTCTGACCACACCGAAGTCTCATAGTTTGCGCCTCTTTAAAACACGTTCATGTCTCATTCCATTCTCTGGATACCCGCAAGACAGCTGAGACATATATCACCATCACATGGCAAAGCGGAGATCTTCTTGTTGCTTTATTTTAGGGAAAGAGCCGTCATACTAGTAGCTGGAGCCTTTCAAGAAAAACTGCTGTGGTTTTCAAAACAATTATGCAAGACAAAATGTAACTGTGAGAAAACACAGTGTGTTCATTAAACACCAGGGAAAAGGAAACCGTCTGAGAGGGTCTAGAGGAAACAGAGGAGCCAGCCTGCCCAGAGTCGAACCCCAGCTCCATCCCTAACCATCTGCAGACGACTGAGTTCCCCCTTTATCTGCAGAGGTGATGACAGCTGGAACTCTCCTCATGAGACTGACATGAGGCCTCCATGAATTAAAAAACGCATGAAGTACTTGGCACCCAGTAAAGCCTAAGTATTTCCATGATTTTAATTATTTGTGAGCCCTGGCCTCAGAGTTTCCATATCCAGTCTCCTCCACCTGGAGGGCCCATCCTTTTACTCTTCTCATGTAGTCCTGCGACTTCAGCCTTTTCCAGGCCCTGGGAAAGAGTGGAGCATCTTGGGGTGGAGGGCTAGGAAAGCTGTCTCAGTGCTCCCAGACTGTGACTCCAAAGTTTTGAATAGAGCACCAGTTTCCAAACACAGGATGTGATCATTTATCAACATCCAAACACTGAATTCGCCAGACAAAGACTTAGAAAATTGACACATTCGTTTCAATCAAAGCAAATAAATGATAGGCTTGCCTTATTAGAATGCGGAAGCATTTTGTTTACATGGCCCAGAATTGCTTTCAGCAAAAATCAGCCAGCAGGTGGAATCGCTTCCATTTTAAACAGTGAGACTGTTGGAATGAGACAGGCATTTCTGAGTTATTCTCTTGGTCAAACCCCTGGAATCTGAAGCCAGTAGGGTTAAACTCCGCCGACTTCAAGCAGCATCTCTGGGTTGAGCTCCAGTTCTGTAGTTCGTCTTCAGACAGACCGGGCTCATGCATATGCATGTTGCTATTGTCGACACTGTTCCATTGGAGAATTCCTGTGCCCTGTGAAAGCCTGAAATCGTTGGCGTCAGTGTGCACAGCCTTCTGTCAGTCTTACCCGTGAGGTTCTGGGCACTGGCTTGTTTTGTTTTTATTCTCTCCATAGCTGTGAAGACATTTTATCCCATTTTTTTTTTTTTTGAGGTGAGTTTAATTGCCAATCGACTAGGTATTCAATATGATAAGGTATCTAAATCCTGAGTTTCCTCCTTTCATTAAAATGTAGATCCAATTTTCTCTTCCCTTAATGCCACATGCTGTTATTAAACCAAAATAATGGAAATAGTAAAAGCCAGATGTCTCTTCAGTCTCAGATTTGATACGGGGCACAATTTCCTCTCCTCAAGCCTAATCTGCCAGTTATTTACTAACCCCATCCTTCGGAAGAATACACAATTTAAATGTAAATGAAATTTACATAGGGGAGCAGCTAGTAGATTCACAGTTTCAATGGCCAATAACCGTTTGCAAAGGGGGAAATCAGCCCAAGCGAAGACCAGCAGCTGTCAGTCTCAGGTTGAGTCATTCACCGGCTCTGAGCTCCGTTCTGAAGCCACCTGCCTCAGAGCCTCAGCTACAAGGCAAAGGGCTAGAGCCGCCATGACTCAGGTATTCCAAACTGAATTTGCCGCTCCTCCGGGAAGGCTGGGTGAGCGTGGGTTTCCAGGAGCAAAGCCCACTGCCATCCCCTTTGAAAGCCAGAACCGACGAAACCGACGAATTTCTCTCAACAAGTATCGACCTTCTCTTATAGCAGAGCCCGCATGATGCTTGGCTTAAGTCAAGGAAAGGGAAAGGAGACAAAAAAAAAAAAAAATCAAAGTATCATTGAAGAGCTCTGCATCTCTGTTAAGAGAAAAGAATACAGACCATTAAAAGAAAATAAGATAAGCGTCAACAGGAGAGCCCCCAAAGTGTCATTCAGGCAGAGACTTCCAGACACAGAGTGCTCTGGGACAAGGAGCCTGGAGGACAGCCAGGAGGGGCGTGAGTGAGAAGGAAAAACAGTCAGGCCGTGTGGGGTCCAACTGTGGGGGATCTCGTGGGCTACAGTGAAGGGGCTTGGCCGTTCGGTGCATTTAGAAGTTTCTAAGTGGGATGTGGCTCTGAAGTCCTATTTAGATTAAGCAGGATGACGGTAAGTGAAGGAAGGGCGCGTGGGTAAAACAGTCTGGAAGCTATTTGAGGGGCTACCACAGGCACCTGGAAAGGACGATCCTGGACAGGACACCCGAGTAGACGTCTCTTCTGCTCTCTCAGAGAGGCTCCACCTGTCCCTGTCCCTTGTCTCAGAAGAGACCATACCCAGTGTGGTCTACACCGTCATACACTTCCAAAGTGAATCTGCATAAGTCTACTCAACCTTGGCTACACCCTACTTGAAGGCTGCAGCGGCGCAGATAATCCACGTTCCCTTTTGTTTGGCTCTGGGATGAATTACACCTTTTAAAAATTTGCCTTCCTAATTAATCTTTCTTAGGCTAATATTAAAATTAACTCATAGTCTTGGAGCCCCTGCCAACTGGGCAGGGGAGAGGGGCAGAGGAGGGCAGAAGGTGAGATTGATGCCACTGAAATTCACCTTGGATCAACCCAGGAGGCCTGCTGGGGACTGTGTGCTGGCAGGGGTCTCTAAGGTTCCAGACTCCTGCCCCCAGGCAGCCGAAGCGTCTGGCATCAGGGTGTGGCTGAAGGGGAGAAGGGGAGTAAGGTGGAGTGTCTGCTCCCAGGGAGCTACCTGTACCAGGGAAAGGGAACAAAAAAATGGCTGACCAGGACGGTGAGGGCCAGGAGAGGACTTCCTGTTAAGAGACATGGAGAGAGGAGGGAAAATTCCCAACAAATATATGTGAAACGAAAGAGAAAGTCACATCATGGCCGCTGTATAAACGCAAAAGCAAAGGTGCTTTTAACAAAGCATGTGCTGGAGCTGCAGGGCCGGCTCACCGGCAAAGAGCACTTGTTGCTCTTACAGAGGACCGGGTTGTCCCCCAGCACCAACATGGAGACTTACAAACATCGGTAACTCCAGTCCCAGAGGATTCGATATTCTCTTCTCACCTCTGAGGGCACCAGGCAAAACACATTAGACATAAAATAACAATAAAAATTAATCTTTTTTTTTTAAGCATGTGAGCTTCCTTATTTAGATATTTTGTTGTTGTTGTTGAGACGGAGTTTTTCTGTGTAGCCCGGGCTGTCCTGGATCTCACTCTGTAGACCAGGCTGTCCTGGAACTCAGAGATCCGCCTGCTTCTGCCTCCAGAGTGCTGGGATTACAAGGGTGTGCCACCACCACCCGGCTTTTTCCTAGTGCTTTCAAACAAGGGTTCATTAACGCAAGGAGTCCTCAGAGTTGATTAGTCGGCAGTCGGGACACAGAAAGGCAGCCAGCCCCAGCAACTCCAGTCAATGCTTTGCTTGTTGGACTCCACAAAAATTGTGTCTTTTGGGTGTATTTCATTAATTCTTTGAGAATGTCATATGAGCATACAATGGATTTTGATCACATGCTCCCCTAACTCCTCCCAGATCCACCCGTTCCTTCCTATCCTCTCTCTCTCTCTCTCTCTCCCCCCCCCCCCCCCCGCTCTCCTCTCTCCTCTCTCCTCTCTCCCCTCTCCCCTCTCCCCTCTCCCCTCTCCCCTCTCCCCTCTCTCCTCTCTCTCCCCTCTCTCCTCTCTCTCCTCTCTCTCCTCTCTCTCCTCTCTCTCTCTCTCTCCCACTGAGTCTAAAGAATGCTGCCCTTATATTCATGGGGTGGGGCCATCCACTAGACATGGTTGACCTATCAGGGGCCACATTCTTAAAGAACACTGACCCCTCCTCCAGAAGTCATCCAGTGTCAACAGCTCTTCAGCTAGGGGTGGAGCTTGTGAGCCTTTCCCACCTCCATGTTGATCCACTTAGTCTTATACAGGCAATACAGCTGCTGCGTTCATGAGGACAACGGTCCCATCCTGTCTAGAACACACTGTTTTTTGTTTGTTTGATTTTGTTGTTTTGTTTTTTTTCTGATCTTCCCCATCCTCTCTTAGGATCTTTCTGTCCCCTCTTCCACAAGGGACCCTGAGCTTTGGGAGAAGGGAGCATGATTTGGATGTCCCGCTTGTGGCCTTGGACTCCATAGACACCTTCTACACTTCGCTCCGTTGTGAGTCTCTGCATTAACCATCTTCCGCTGCACACAGAAGCAACGTCTCTGATGATGTCTGAGGGCTGCACTAACCTACGGGTCGAGAGAGGGGAATGTGGAGGGCAGTTTGATACCATGTCCGTTTAGGAAAAGAATAACTGAGGCCAACGCGCTCCCAAGCTCTTGATCCTCTGTCAGGTTTACAGGACCAAGTGTGAG